TTTCGTTGAAAAAAACGAGAGTTCTGATGATCTCCATGTAGAGGTACGGATGCCAACCGAATCCAAACTTGACGGGATCTTAAGATTCGACTGGTAATTAAATATAACAGAGAACGAAAAATAATTTTCCTATTAATCGAAAGTTTTGGTATCTTCCGACTTCAGATTCTTCGATTCCTTCCTTTTCTTCAGATTATTCCGGTACTTTTCCCATCGGTTGGAGGTTAGGGAATCTTGTTTCCAAATAAGACCCTTAAAAGGACTCTTTCGATCAATGCAAACAACCCCTTATTTTAAGAGCCAGTTGAATCTCTCGGTAGACGATGACAATTTGTGAATTTGTGTTTGCGTCAGGTCGACCGACTTAAGCACAAACTCAAAAAACCACTTCATCACTATTTAACCTGCCAGAATTAACGTTACGGATAGTACAGGCGAGTATGGCAATGGAATCAAAACTAAATAAAAATTAACAGATCGGGTGAGAATAATAATTGACAAATTAAAGGGAAAGCTAACTGGTGAATGAAAATAAACGGACAAGTGATTCGGGTCTCTGGTCTGGAATACACAGAAATAAGTTTCCGGTCGGTTAGTAATCTCAGGAAAAAGTGTTTCCGTGAAATACAAATTCATTCTTGTATAGGGACAAGGAAGCACACAAACAAGAGTGGATATAAGAAGCGATTTCACTTTCAAGGTGGGACAGAACCAAGCGGCATCTAACGGAGGAATTTTACAACGCCCCTTACTGAGGTATACATATAAAGAAAATTAATTACCGATTTCAATGTTTTCTTACGATCAGACTTGAAATCATAGCACGGCAGTTTTTAAGAGTAAGATTCATTTTTTCACTGAGACGCAAACTTTAAAAATTTGTCAAAACTCAGAAATTAGAGGTTTCGATTTGTCATTGCGTATATTAACGTACAAAATAATGTTGGTAGTTTTTAAGCTTTCATGGCAACATAGTATCTTGACTGCGGAAGTTTTTGGAGCAACTTACATATCCTTTAAGATCAGTAACAGATTATCTTATTCTAGTTAACCTTGTGAGTTTTGCGTATACGATAAAGTTAACACATCTTTACAAGTCACGTAGAGGTTGGTGAATACCAAAAACACAATTTGTATTTATGTATGTAGAGATCTAAATTATACATGATTTGCTCATGAGAACATTATGAGGCTTTGGTCATCGTGTCCAATTTTCGCTTTCGTCTTTCTCTGGCGTGACGTTCTGAAATATCTTCTGATTTCATTTGATTATTATTTTGGGAAAACTGAGTTTAGTTCTGTATATTTTCAGCGACCCGTGAATAATGATGTAACTAACTAATATTTCACAAAGCAAAATTTATGAATTTGCTTGACGGATGCTTAACCCTTTGTCTTGTGTAACAGGTGGTCGCTTTAGGTTTACAAAGATTTGGTTTCGAATTTACAAATTTCCCAGTATAGGAAATTTAATACATGAACCGTTTCATAGTGAAAAAGGACAGCAGTAAAATAAGATAGAATGAAACGCTTTCAGATAAAAAGTCATTTTAACATTCCTGAAGAGGTCGAACCACGGAAGTTTTTTCCGTGAATAGATTTCTAAATTTTTTATGAATGATAAGCGAACCCAAACAAAAGATTTTGGGGATTTTTTCTCATTAACTGTGAAGTGGAATTTTAAGTTCATTGACCATTCCTTTGAGTGGATTAAATGTTAGCGGATTCAATGTTGGCGTTGGATTAATTTCTAATTGATTTTATGGAAGTGGAGCTTTCAACCCCTGTAAATGTAACTAAGCCGTTACACTTGTGTAATTGCAAATGTCTTGCAGCAAACAAAAGCAGCGCGTTAACCCTTATGTAGGAGACTATATCGACTATTTTGACATTAGAATCTAACAATCATCTTGGTGATCCAAACAAACAAAAAATGCACTATAATTTCATCCATGTAGACGCCTATCGCATTAGAATATTAGATATTATAATAAATTAATAATTTGCAACAACTGTTGTGCAAAGAAAATTGCATCATCAACATTAATCGCTAACCGCAGTCTGTTTGTAAACAGTTTCTCCTGAACAACATTGGCGTATTGATTTAAAAATAGTATATTGCGAAAAATAACAAAAATGTAATAAAAATACCGTAAGTCTGGCATCCCAGGAGCAACTTGGAATCCCTTGAAGACCATCCATTCCATGGTAGTGGTGAGAAACAGGTATACAAGGAAGGAATAAAAATAATTGCAATTAATTATGTTATAGCGTCCTGCTTCTCCCCCACAACAGTGTCCTCAAGGATGGCGCTTCTATAGTAATATGCTCACAAAAAAGGAACCGAAAAATGTCACTTGTTCTTAGACACACAAACCATTATTCATAAACAAGTTGCTTTATTTTGTGCAATGATAATCATGTCAATGTCGTTTGCAATATTCGTCATTTCAACTGCAATTATTAAGACAATTCATATGTACATTGTATAGGTTAATCGATCACAAGTTACGTTCAACAATAAATAACAAATTTGATACAAATTATTTGCCATTCTTCGCTTTGGTCTCGTCATACGGATGCGCAAGTATCCATTCCAAAGCTCTAAGTATTGCGGGTGGGCTTGGTGGTGGTGTCGGTAGATGTGCGCCTTGGGGTTGAAAACCCAGTTCGTCATCGGCCGTGTATGTCAGCGATATCTGGTTGCCTTCGGGATCCTTGTAGCCGTAGCCGCCTTGAACCACGATCGCATCTTCCTTGTCCGGGCCGGATGCCTTCTTCAAGGTACCCGTTTCTTCCGCCTTTATTCCGTTCTCTGTATCGAAACTAAGCAAAATGGTTAGGTGGGTGCATTAATTTCGCGTGATGGAATTCTTGCACAATAGTTGTATGTCTTTTCGCACAATTTAGAGAAAGTTAAAGGTTAGTATCGTGGCATTCTTTCGTCCTGAATCCTACCCACCATTGTAATGGTACTTTTATGACCCTAAATCTCACCTCCATTTATATCCACCGTCGGGACCACTCTCACTAGACTGACTTATGATTTTTATGGTTTGCGCTTGCGGTGCCGAATTAACAACGTTACAGATTCCCACAAGGAACAGGCTTAACTACAATATAATATTACCTTGGCGGATGAAAAAGAGGGTTAGTTTACGTACCTCAATGTAGTTCATGTTTATATTCTATCAAACATTAGATTCTCTACACTACTGACGATGATGATGGAAGCTTCTCTATTTATACTCTTCTTGAGGTTTAATCAAAAACATACAATCATAACTTCCCCCTACAACAATAATCTTATTCATGATAGTTTCTTACAACACAAGAAAATTGCATTATTTAATGTCACTCAAGTTTAGTACAGATGGAACTGATGACATCGATCCATTGAGTATTTACATGGTCTATACTATGCATTACGCATACATTATCTACTATTTTTACAATTCCTTAACGATCTTTGTATTTTATATCGGTGTTGTTTTATTTATGTTAGAATAGAATAATAGAAAATGGTATTGGGGATGGTCTTTCGCGTGAGACGTTGAGAATAAAATGTATACCTACATTATAATTACGTCGATACACTACTGTAATGCCAGTAACTAGCGTTAAACCAACCATTATTTATGTCACACTTCATTGACAAAGGTGCGTTTGTGCAATATTTGTCATAAAAGTCATCACTTGGGATTAATAATCCTATGATTTATATCGATGGCGCGCTACTAAAATATCTCGTAATTATAATTAATTAACTTACCAGTAGCGTTACTAATTATACACCTCATCTATCTGCTTTTTCTATAAATAACAATTTGTGCTTTTACCGGATTTGGTTTAAAATTGTTGAATAATTGCACATCCACACATTCGGGAGAATGTAAAAATAATAATTTAGAGGCCGTTACCTGACAGTAATAATTCAACATTTCTTCTTCCTTATTTCACGCGCTGTGACATTACATCGTCAACCCCTTTGTAACCTGAAGCTTTGAAAGCTTGAAGTGTTAGTAAGAAATACTAACCCCTTAGGTATATAAAATTGATTCTTAAGAGGGTTGATCATTGTAGCATTTTCCAGATTGTGCTGTGTACTGAAAGCGAATGGGAACATGCTATGTAAACCAACTAGTCGACCTAGATGGCCTGTAACGAGTGCCCCCTAAGGCTTTTCAATTTCTTAGAATTTTATATACCTAAGTAGGTATGTACAACGTTTTACGTTATACGAAGGGTAAGCACGAGTAGGTTTACTGACGGTCACAGGACGATATGTGGGATACGCGATGGTGGAGACGTATTCCAAAGTTTGCTTCAAATCCGTTTCGGTGTAATTGGCGGAAAGGCGCTGCGGGAGCTATTGAAGGGGTAAATGCTTATCGGTTTTTATGCTTTTATGCAAAACCAATCATTTACAGATGCAACAAATTTATTTGACATAAAACAATGAGGTTGAAAGAAAAACAGGTACTCAGGGACACCATAACACATACCACGCAAACAAGCGATCGATAGACAATTAATGTAAGCAAGTCTGAATTACCTTGGTGTCAATAATCCAAAATCTCAGGTTGTAAGTGCGATTTTCAAACAAACAGACGCACAAACAGACACAGAATTATGATTCGTCTCTACTTCACTTCTTGGATTGCACTTAGATTTCGATTTAAACGCTATGACTTCGTTGTAATTACAATTATAGTATTGGCCATGGAGGACAAAATCCCTTTAAGTAATAACTTAAAGAGCTTTTCTTAAGCGACAAACGCTCGATAACCACAACACTTCGATTAAACTTTTTCTTAAATGAGAAAATACGCTTCCGCTTAAATGGACTTAACATACACTTTTTAACACCACGGCTTCAATATTTTAATACTCGTAGCACTCAACTAACTGTCTTCTAACATGTGATAACTGGCAGAGGTGGCTGTTTTGCAAAAAGCTCCCATAACGGCAAAACTAACTGTTTTGCAATAAATACAGCTGCGTTTTAACCGAGGTTTTACGTCTTCCATCAAAAAGTACCTGGATTAACCTCCGTTTTGCTTCTTTAAAACTTTTTCCCCTTCTCATTTCCTCTTATCGATCAAAATAAAAATAATGCATATACAGGATGTCCCATCGTTATTGCAGGTGCCGAAGTCAAATAAAATGTCCGCATGGCGTAGTTTATCCAACGATGTATAGATCCAGTAAGGCAAATCTATTTGCATTTGTCTTACTCTCGTGTATATAGGTATGTAGTATTCTTACGCCATTTAGGCATTCACTTTGTAAACCACTAGTTTAAAGATGTAAGTTAGTTTTGTAGTTCTTTCCCCTAGTTCTTTGTTTCGTCAACGGAGGTCGTGTTCCATGGTATTTCTAATTCTTCTCCCTTCTTAAAGTTTATCTTGTGCGCAGTTGTATTTCTTTTCCCCTCAATGAAGTTTCTGCTTTCGGATTGATTACATGAAAATTTTTCTTTTGGCACGCTATTACTTTTACTAACTTTTGTCTACCTGTAAAGGGATGTTTTTTGGCTTTACCAGTTATCCTTGGAGTGGTTTCTCTCTTTCTCTTGATGTCTGTGGCTGTGGCTCCAGCTCCATTGAAGCGTTTTTTTACGGATTAGTTTTGCGTATGAACAATACGAGATATGTACCGTTATAAATCAGCATTTTTCGCCGTTTTAGCAATATTGACAGTGACGGGCGTACGCGATAGATGAGTTTCTACATTACCGACTTAGAAAATTCTACATTAACCATGTTAATTCACTACGTTCTACCAACATTACCGCCGATTTCAAGTTTGTACTTGTGTTACTTTTGTTACTACGAGGATTCGTTTTTGTTAATTTGGTTACCTTATATTCTTCAGATTAGTTATGTTATTTGACATATTAGTACCATTGCTTTGTAAATTAATTTTTTAAGTTACCGAGACTTTGTCCGAAGCCGAAATATATTATTTTTAGTTACGTTATGTGTTTTACTCCGAAGAATTGGCTCACATTATCTTGTTTATGTTTTGAATTGATTAGGTGAATAGAAATTTAGTTATTTGAGCATCGTAAAGTACTTTTCTTGAATTTAACGTCACGTATATGCTTTTAGACCGTGGTCGATCAAAATTTTTCTTTTGCTAGTGCAAAGTCATTCGGATTATTGATTCTTATTGAGTATAAATTACAGTTTAATATTCAGTTGCCTTCGTGTCAGACGCTAGCGCTATTCACTACTCTTCTTATTTGTTTGTTATGGTGTTGTCTGTTACAGAATAGGCTGTACGCGCCCTTTTGAGCTCACAAGGTTGCGACTCGTTTTTCTCTTGTAAACGCTTCTACTTTGTTCACACCCCAATTTAAACCTGCCATAAATCCTGAGCCCCTTTCGTTTCTAATTGCTGTATTTTCTTGCCATGAAATGTAACTATCCCGTATTTAAATTTCCCTATATGTTCTCTTGCATAACATTGCTCCGCATCTGAACGATTATCAATCGTAGTAACTCAGGTATGTCCCATGTATCTTTAGCAACTCATATTCATTATTGCTTACTCTCCCTATAGGCAATCTTTCATAGACGGATACCTATATTAATAAACCGCACCAATATAGAAAACGAGCTACAAAGTCAGTTCCGGTTGACGAATATTGACCAAAATTTAATCCCTTGACCATTGTCTACCTATTGCTAAAAACAGAATTGGAAAATTCGGAACCGTTAGTGAGTAACCGTGTCCACAGACCACGGACGGACAGAAAGTCCAAAATCATAAACTCGCCTTTTCGCGCTTGTTAATATAGTAGGGGAGCTAACACGAAATCCACTGAACGAGAATGATCAAAATTTTAACCGATGGTGTTCCATTTTGCCCTATCAGAGTATGCTAAAATCGATCGTCTGCCGCCTCAGGTCATACGACTTAAGGCGCTGCGGGTACTTCTTTTGGTACCAATTCTGAAAGGTTGTTTTTCGAAAAAATAAGTTATATACCAAATGAAAACGTTGATAATAGCTCTTAAAAAAATATTTAAAAAAATCCCGCGCATTTGATAACTCCGTAAAAAAACAATTCTTAGTCGGTTTTTCATGAACTTTCTACGGATATAACTAGGTTACGGTGGGACGAATGAAGCTGATTTTTTTTACAGACTCATGATAGGTACTACTAATGACTTAACGGTGTTTCGTTTTTAAATTTTGTCTCTAATTACAAGATTATCTTATTAGCTTAACATTATAAGATATCTTATAATTAGAGAAAAAATTTAAAAAAGAAACACTCTCGTAGTCATTGGCTGTACCTATCATTAGTCTGTAAAAAAAATCAGCTTCATTCTTCCAACGGTAACCTAGTTATATCCGTAGAAAGTTCGTGAAAAACCGACTAAGAATTGTTTTTTTACGGAGTTATCAAATGTGCGCGATTTTTTTAAATATTTTTTTAAGAGCTATTATCAACGTTTTCATTTGGTGTATAACTTATTTTCTCGAAAAACAACCTTTCAGAATTGGTACCACAAGAAGTACCCGCAGCGCCTTAAGTCGTATGACCTGAGGCGGCAGACGATCGATTTTAGCATACTCTGATAGGGCAAAATGGAACTCCATCGGTTAAAATTTTGATCATTCTCGTTCAGTGGATTTCGTGCTAGCTCCCCTACTAATAAGGGGTTGAATGCGAATTTGGAAACTTGGATACAATAAAGTCATGAGCACATGATATAAAACTTACGGGATCTATATAGACGAAGGGGGCGGGGAAAGTATTAAACGTTCAACTCCCACCAATCTTATTTAAATTTTTTTCGCTCAGTACCCTTTCAATTTTTCTGATTTTTCAAATTCTTAAAATTTTCTTTCTTTTCTTTAGATTTTTCAAACCATTTAAACAGTCTGAATACTTCGGATACATACAATCTTTCTGATCGTTCTCTCTTCAAATGCTCTGGATTCTCCTGTTTCTTTGGAGTATCCGGAAACTACTCTTGGTTGATCCATATCTCTAAATGGGGTGGTGAACCATACAGGAAAATAAACAACTCAATTCCTCAAAACCATCCCCATGGATCTTTGGAGTATGCAGATTATCTCTGTCTTTCAAATTCGGAGAAGTTTTGCTGCAATTGTTCAGATCTCTCAAATTGCTTGGATTTCTCCCTGTCTAAACAATTCTTCCGATTACACAATTATGAAAGTCAAAGAAAGCAACGAGCTCAGAAAAAAACACTTTTATAGTGAAGCGTGAGCAAGAATCTCAGCATAGATGATACTGAGGACACCATACCTAACATCCAATGAGAGTTCAGATATAGAGCTCCAGCTTTTAAAATTTTTGTAATTTCTCAGACCTTCCGATTCCTTACAGTTTCGCTTTGTTCAAATTCCTTCGTTTATTTGCCTTGTTTCCATCCTTTTATCATCATCCTTGGATTTTTTAAAGATTCTTCCAAAGGTCAAGAACTTTTATATTGCCTCTATTATTGTCAATTTTTTCGATTCCTTTGATTTATGCCTTAAATTTCTTTAATTTCTTCAGGTTCCTCAAATTGTTCAACACACGCCCATTAGATCCATAATTTATTTATTTTATTATTCTTCAGTTGCT